GTTTCGGTTCAAGCCCTCACAATTTATGCGTCACCTGATTTTCGCCCGCGCAAACGGTACATAATCTGCTTGAAGGCCTTCTTTGCCGATCAGTAGTCATATTTCAGGATCTCTAAGCGCGACTCCCAAGCCTTTGTTTTCGCAGCTTTCATTGTTTGTGTTACAATTTTGTCCGCATCGGTGTAAGCATAGACATCAAAGATCAGATCTTGTTAGAAAGCAGGAGTGAACAGGCCTTCTTCGCTCTGACGGTGTCTAAACTTCCAGTTTCCAGAAAGAAGTTCCTTCCTGGCAGCCAGTGGCTGCTAACGCTTTAGCCCACAGAAAGATAGCGTTATTTGTTATCTTTCAGCTTCCATGCACAGATTCGAGTCGACTGAAAATTACTGACCAGATACAAGAGGGAGGTCTTCTCAATTCAATCAGCCGCTCCTATGTTATTCTCTAAGAATGAAACTGCACCTTTACTTTCACTCTACCAACTTTCGACGTCTTGTCACTTAATTCGACAACGTTTCCTGACCCCAATTTTTGGGAAGATTACAAAATTTAAATTTATTACAAGGAATTATTACAAAATTTAAACCGCAACTATTCGGTCACTTCAGCATTTAACATTAGGCCGTACTACTTCACTGAAATTAATCTCCATTTCCGTCACTTCCAAATTTCTACTTTTAGGTATACTCAGCACCGCCATACAGTAGGATATTCAGAATGCAAGCCCTGATATTCCGTTTTGCATCAGTACCAACATCTTCGTCATTTGAGAGTTTGAATAACTTGTTGCTCATTGTTAACACCAAGATACAGCGCATCTTGTTGCGGATGTCATCGTCATTTGCGGTGTCAAGATCAAGGGCAGAGTACCAAGATTAATGATGTCTGATGCATTGGCCTCTCAGAATTATTTAGGCAATGCTAGAACAAAGATCATGTTTCTCGTCACAAGCAAGTTTACCTCTAGCAACTGCTTCAGAGGGCAATATTGGACCCCGAAAAGCCTGCGACAATCCTCTGCTTCCCAATGGAAAATGGTTTCGAATAAAATTGAATTCCATCTCCAGATGGTTCTGTCAAACCATGATAGATGCCGATTCCTGATTTCTTCATTCTCAGGGTGGTCATCTCTAAGATCATCTTTTTATTCGCCAATCAACAGAACCACCGCACTTTCAGAATGTGCCTCTCAGGCAGCGCTGCTGAAAAGTGTGCAACATTTTTCCACACAGCTTTAAAAGGGTTGATGGTTTCAAGGGTCTACATCAAGACTGACATTATACGGCGGCTTTTTAGCATAGTGATCTTTGTTGCTGTCCGGATAAATCGATCTTACCACACCTTAGAAACTCGCCCGAAGTTCACAGAAAAGAGCCCTTACTGCCGTTATACTTCTATGTCGCAGCTTCCACATCTTCTGCCAGTACAGCCTACGTAGGCTCTGTAAGTACTTCAATTTTTCGACCGTTCTTCCACTACACTGAATCTTTGAGTTATTATTCAGGTCCAGCACTTGTAAGATCGTTTTGGTTGAACTAACCTCTAGGCCTACCGTCGAGGTCACCAAGCACGCTTCTCGAGTTAGTGCG